TCTCTGATTTCTTATTGTGACAACATTAATACTCTCTTGATTTTTCGGATTCGGTACTGTCACACTCGGGAGGGTTCCTTGGGTTTGTGTTGAGAGGTGTTGGGCTATCTGCTCCATTTACGCCTCAAGATTTTTGATGGAAGCTATGTTATTCCTTTGAACATTATGGGTCTCTTCTTGGAATTGCATACTTTGAGCTGCCATTCTTTCAATAGCTATCTCACATTCTACTTTTTGAGGAGCCTGTTGATATTGAGGTTGGTATGGTGGCTGCTGATATTGTTGCTTATTTTTCCAACCTAGATTGTATGTGTTGGCATAAGGATTGTTCTGCCTCAACATATTAATTTGTTTAACCTGCTCTTGAGTTGCCACACAATGCATGGTAAAGTGTGGTCCACTACATATCTCACAAGGTAACGCTTGAACTGGTTCAACTTATGCCATTGTCTCAGTTCCAATATTCATCTTCTTTAACCTTCTCTCTACCTCGGCAGTAATTTGATCCTCCATTTTAACAACCTGATCCGCCAGCTTCAAATCAATCTTACCCTCTGGTTGGTTCATAGTGCGATCATACAACTCAAGATGCTCATTGGCGGCAATTGCTTATATGATCCTCTTGATACCAGTGGCTGTTGAGAAATTAGTTGAGCCACCGGCAGCAGTGTCTATACGTTGTTTTGTCTTGAGTCATAAACTATTCACAAAGTTCTGCATCTGCTCTGTGGCATCCATGTTATGAGTAGGACATGCTGTTAGAAACCTCTTAAACCTCTTATATGCATCTCCTAGAGATTCCCCTTCTTTTTGTTTGAAATTGACGTTGTCGTATCTTTTTCGAATAAACACTGAAGCAGGGAAATACTCATTAAGGAATGCAGTTTCCATCTCTCGCCATGTGGTGATACTCCCAGCTAGAAGTGAATAGAACCATTCTTCCGCATCATCAGTCAGTGTGAACGAAAATATAACAAGTCTCTTGGCCTCTTCGGAATGACTTTCTATCTTCAAAGATGTGGTGGTTGTTAGGAATCTCTGTAGATGCTTGTTTGCATCTTCGTTGATTCTTCCAGAGAAAGGCTTGCTCTCCAACTGGCGAATGGTGGAAGGATGTAGCTGAAAGTGTGCCACATTCACCGGTTGATTCATGATGGTCATCCGGTTTGGTTGAGCATTGGCCCCTCCATAGTCTCCCAAAAGTCTCTCCGCAGGTGGGAGATCCGCCATAGCTTCAGTGTCTCTTTCTGATTCCGAACCTGAATCTGAATGAACAAAAACTCTTTCTTCTTCTGAAGCTAATAGTCTAGCTTGCCTACGTCTTTCGTGTAGAGTCCTTTCAATTTTTGTGTCCAAAGAAAAATTAGCTGAGGGATCTCCTCGCATGAAAATGTTAGACGCAGATTAGTAGTAACAAAATAATAATAATAAAAATTAAAAATAAAAACTGAAAATAAATTTTTGGCCGCAGAGCAACAAAATTTCAATTGAATTAGAATCAAACTTATATTATGGCAGTCCCCGGCAACGGCGCAAAAAACTTGACCGGTAAAATAACAAGTGTACTATTTTTACCGATGTAGTAATAGGGGTAAATTCCCCGAATATCGATCTCGCGGACTGCGTATGAACACAAGTTCTATAATAATACAATTGAACAAAAAGTCATAGGGGTTTTGGTTTGTTTCTTTATAATTATAAAGGCCAGAAGGCAACAGCAGTAAAATAAAGGTTTTAAATAGTTATGAGAAGCATGCTAGGGTAGGGTGTATGAAAAGCCTTGTAATAACCTTAATCCTTAGTTTTCAGAAATCACTGCTCAATTCAAGCGTTACCAGTTTTAAAGACTAGTTGACTCTAATTCCTTAGCAGAAAACCCTTAGGTATTCTCCCTATGCCCCAATTCCTTGGCGGTATAGGAACAATTCCAAGCGATATATTTTATCTAAAACATTACGGTTACTATAGGGTATCCCCATTCCTAGGCAATATCTACTATAGTATTATCGTATAAACGCGTTAACGACCGTTTTTCCAAACCTAAGGTTAACCGTAAATTAGATCCTTATTTGTCAAATAAGAAAAGCCATAAGAAAATTATACAATAACAACGATGATTAGAAAGCAGTGAAACCCATTATTCAAAGTAAACAAGGTTATTACAGAGTCAATTCAGGGACACCCCCTAGAATTGAGGGGTTTACCTACTCATAATAATAAAGATAAAATCAACAATAAGACTAAACATTACAAGATAACTGATTGCCTTGATCTTTAATCACTTTCGCTCATGAGGACCTTCAGTTTCCCAAATACTTGATCGCTCCAATCTTTCTCGTGAATTTTTTTTCTGTCCAAAAGCCCCTCTCTCCATTCACGATGCGTCTAATATACCAAAATTTAAATTACAATGCGAGATGCCTAAACTGCCCTCCGAGATAGCACAATCAACATAAAACACAAAATACAAACATTTTTCTTTCAGTAGCCCTGACACGGGCAGTGTCACAGGACACAGACACCCGTATTAGGCTGCTGGTTCTTGGGTTGGCAATTTTCATCTTCAAGGGTCCTGACACGGGCAGTGTCACAGGACACGGGCACCCGTGTCAGGCTGTTGGTTCTTGGGTTGGCAATTTTCATCTTCAGGGGTCCTGACACGGGCAGTGTCATAGGACACGGACACCCGTGTCAGGCTCCTGGTCCACCTCAAATCTATTCCGAATTCTTGCCATTTTTTCCCGGTTTTTGCTCTGATTCTCCTTTATTGTTTACCTGAACCTATAAATAGTGAAAACACCAAACCAACACGTAAAATGCAATAAAAACAAATAAAATGCGACAAGATATAACAAATGATAAAATAACGTATAAAAACCACTGATCAGTATGCAATAAAAATCAGATATACATAGACACAACTAAGATATGTGGAACCCATTCAATTAACTTGCTGTCATGCGTAACAACCTTCAGCTCTTTCTTTAGAAATCTCTCCTAGAAATAAATTATAATATATGTTATAATATATAAATAATTAACATTAAATTTGATTCAAAATGTCGAAGACAAACTTACTTTCTCCTCCCACAAATGCCGAGCAATGTGGTTATGATATCTCACTAAAAGAGACGTATCAGATGGTCCTCCAGAAAATGGTGGATGCAGCGGAATAGGCACGAGTGCTACTATTTGATCTTCCTCACGATTCGACAGTTGTCGAGTTGCCCGTCCCTCACCGTATCGTCGATAAATTCTTCCATCACGTCCTCGAATGCGAGCCACTAAAAAAAATTAAAACTAAATAAATAACAAAAATTAAAATAAAAAGGTCCATCAAACCGAAAAACTACTAGACAAGTTTTTCGGAACATCAACTAACAGAACCAAATAACATGGGGATAAAATATCCGGTGAAGCTAATAAAAGAACCGGATAACTAGATCATAAGTTATCTGGTACGCAAAAATTATCAATCGAATAACTTCACCATAAGTTATTTGAAGAAAAAATTTAAAAAATAATTAAATCGGAAAACTCACTATTGTATTCTCTGGAGTTCAAAATGTGAACTGGATGTCTTGTGTTTGAGTTATCTGGAAGTAAAAAAAATCACAGATTTTGCACCGGAAGAAATGAAAAAAAAGCTGAAAATTTTGAATAATTAGATATTTATCCAAGAGTATTTTTGTCTAATTTTTTTTATGTTGTTGGGATATGGAATTAAATGTAGGGTATGAAGTAAAAAAAATTATAAATATGTGTAAAAAGTTAAAAAAAAAAAAACATTTAAATAGAATACAAACGGAATAGTTTTGTAATCATCCTTTGCATGTTGCGGAAAACTATGATATGTGTCTTCCAAGAAGGTTGTATTTTCTTTGCTTGATGGACAAGTATTATCATTTATACTACTAATTAATTTTTAAAATTAGTTATTATTATTTGTTTTAAAAAGGTCAATTTATATTTTGAAAGAAACGGGGAGATTATCTTATTAATTTTTAATAATAATTGCACTTAGATTCATTATCGCTAGAAAAAGATTTGGTATCTCTAAAAATTCGATTAGATTTAGTATTTATTATTATATTACATTTTATTGTTCTTTGTATTATAATTAAATACGGTATAATGTATAATTGTAATTTAAAACTATCATTTTTCTTTATTTTATACACGTGTACCAACTATATTTTAACTTTATTGAGAAATGAATTAATTTGAAAATATATTTTCTAATTTTTTTTTATAATATAAAGTGTAAATCATTGGTGTATTTAAAAAATAACAATATTGATTAAAAGAACATTTAAATAAAATAGAAACGGAATAGTCTTGTAATCATCCTTTGCATGTTGCGGAAAACTTCCAAGATGGTTATATTTTCTTTGCTTGGTGGACAAGTATTATCATTTATACCACTAATTAATTTTTTTTGATTCATTATCGCTAGAAAAAGATTTGGTATCTCTAAAAATTCGATTAGATTTAGTATTTTTTTTCCTTATAAAATAGAAAAAGTTTCTTTGTTTTTTCTATTCACCTCGAAATTCAAACCCTTGATTTTGATCGTTACAACTGCCCCGTAATCGGTCGCGCCACCACCTCTTTGTCCGTTAGCCGCCCCGCTACCACGGCCGTTAGCCATCGCACTGCCACCTCTGTTAGCCTTCGCATCTCCTCCTTAATCACCGGCCAGCGTTTAAGGTTTGCTTCCCAACTTTCTCCTTAATTCTACTTTTCCGCGTTACCTTTTCTGTTTTTGTCGTCTGTGATGAGTTCTGTTAGGTTTGGTTAAGAATAGTATTTGAAATGGTTTAGGGATGAATTAGCATAATGCAGAAGAATTATAGAAGAAAAAAATAATATTGAAAATAGAGTTATAATCATCAGTAATATAATTTATATATTTCACGATATAATTTCAATATTTCAACATACTTTAGTTAATTTTTTGTTGTGCCTTCTGTTTTTAAGGTTCATCTTTTGTGAAAGACATGAATTTGAAGAAGAGAAGTAGAAGAGGAATTCAAGATGAGAAAAAAGAGAGGGAGTTGAAGAGAAGAACTTCATCTTCCCATGATGAATACAATAGTTCTGAGTATGTACACAAAGAAATATTGAAAGATCAAAGCGAGAAGGAGGAACTAGAGCAGCATTTGAGAGAAAGGGATTCGGCCAAAACACGAAAATTAGCTGAACCGAAGAAAGTTTATAGAAAATCTAATGCGGCAAAAGAGAATGAGGATGTTGAATCATTGAGAAAAGTTTCGAGGCAAGAGTACTTGAAAAAAAGAGAGGAAAAGAAATTGCAAGAACTCAAGGATTATATTGAAGATGAGCAATATCTTTTTGAAGGTGAGAAACTTTCAGAAGCTGAATATCGTGGTCTCGTGCACAAGAAAGAGACATATAACATACTTTCAAAGAACAAAGGGTTAAAGAGTGCGGATAATGAATATAGAATGCCAGAAGCTTATGATGATCAACATAGGGGCGTTAATCAAGAGAAGAGGTTTTCTGTCGCTATGCAGCGTTACACTGATCAAAATATTGACAAAGAAGATGCTTGGGAAGAACAACAAATTAGAAAGTCAGCATTGAAGTTTGGTTCGAAAAATAAAAGACGAGCCTCTGATGATTACCCATTTTTGTATGAGGATCAAATTAGTTTTATCAAGGCATATGTGATGGATGGAGATAAGTCTGATTTTGAAGAAGAGATTGCATTGGAAAAGTCTAGAGTTAAAAGGTCAGTTTTAGAGGCACTTCAAGAAGAGAGGAAAAAGCTACCTATCTATTCTTTCCGGGATGAATTGCTTCAAGTGGTTCATGATCACCAGGTACTTGTCATTGTCGGAGAAACTGGTTCCGGAAAGACTACACAAATTCCCCAATATCTCCACGAAGCTGGTTATACGAAGCATGGAAGAATGATTGCGTGTACTCAGCCACGGCGTGTTGCTGCTATCAGTGTTGCTGCCCGAGTTTCTCAAGAAATGGGTGTTAAACTAGGACGCGAAGTTGGTTACTCCATACGTTTTGAGGATTGCACGTCCAAGAAGACCATCTTGAAATATATGACCGATGGAATGTTGTTGAGGGAATTCCTTGTTCAGCCTCAGCTGGAAAGTTATAGTGTTGTAATAGTGGATGAGGCTCATGAAAGAACACTTTCTACTGATATTTTGTTTGGATTAGTGAAGGATCTTGCTCGTGCTCGACCTGATCTTAAGGTGCTGATATCAAGTGCTACTCTTGATGCAGTGAAGTTTAGCAACTACTTTGATCTTGCTCCAATATTCAAAATTCCTGGGAGAAGGTATCCTGTTGAAATACACTTCACCAAAGCACCAGAAGCCAACTACTTGGATGCTGCTATCGTCACGACACTTCAAATCCATGCCACTCAACCTCCAGGAGATATATTGGTATTTCTTACGGGTCAAGAGGAAATTGAAACGGTAGAAGAAATCCTGAAACATCGGATGAGAGGTTTTGGTACTAAAATAGCCGACTTAATTATATGCCCGATATATGCCAACCTGCCAACTGAACTACAAGCTAAAATATTTGAACCCACCCCTGAAGGGGCCAGAAAGGTAGTCCTTGCCACCAATATTGCAGAAACATCATTAACAATTGATGGGATTAAGTATGTCATTGATCCAGGATTCTGTAAGATGAAATGTTATAATCCAAGGACTGGAATGGAGTCGTTACTAGTAACTCCCATCTCAAAAGCTGCGGCAAAGCAAAGAGCTGGTCGTTCTGGAAGGACAAGTTCTGGTAAGTGCTTTCGATTGTATACTGCATATAGTTTTTTAAATGATTTGGAAGATAACACTTCACCTGAAATACAACGAACTAACCTTGGAAATGTAGTCTTAACTTTAAGTTGTCTTGGTATTGAGAATGAAAAGTTGTTTCAGTTTGAATTTATGGATCCTCCACCAGTTGAGGCCATAACAAAAGCCGTGGAGCTTTTATATGCACAAAATGCTTTAACTGTTGGTGGCAAATTAACTAAGGTAGGCAGACGGATGGCAGAGTTCCCGCTTGATCCCATGTTGTCAAAAATGATAGTTGCTTCAGAAAAGTACAAGTGTTCTGACGAAATCATCTCCATTGCTGCCATGCTTTCTGTTGGCAACTCAATATTTTACCGTCCGAAGGATAAACAAGTACATGCAGACAATGCAAGAATGAATTTTCACACAGGAAATGTTGGTGACCACATTGCACATCTAAATGTCTACAATTCATGGAAGGAGAGCAATTATTCAACACAATGGTGTTACGAGAATTATATACAGGTCAGAAGTATGAGACGTGCTAGGGATATCCGTAATCAACTTGCAGGTCTTTTGGAGAGGGTTGAGATCGAACTAACTTCAAATTCTAATGATTTAGATGCCATCAAGAAATCCATAATATCTGGATTTTTCCCTCACTCTGCAAGATTGCAAAAGAATGGATCTTATCGAATGATTAAAAATCTACAGACTGTTTATGTACATCCTAGTTCAGGGCTGACAAAGGATCTTCCGAGATTGGTTTTATATAATGAATTAGTACTCACAACCAAGGAATATATGAGGCAGGTCACCGAGATAAAGCCGGAGTGGTTGCTGGAGATAGCCCCCCACTTTTACAATCCAAAACATTTTGAAGACTTGAGTTCCAAAAAAACTTCCCGTGGACATGGACTTGCATAAAAGGGCTGTCAGCGGGAGATGAAAGTATATTCGTTGGATGGTGTTTTTATTGGAGGGAAGTGCATTACCTGCTTAATTTCTGCTTTTAATTAATCATTTTCTTGGTCATAATTGGTTTGTGCATATTGGCAGTTCTTTCTGGTTATGCAATAGACTTGGATTTTAAAATTGTTTATTGAACATTTGAATAATATATTGGAGCCTCTATTCTAATTTGGAGTCCACGTGTCATGATTTTTTCCATTGAGTGTTTTGCATCTGTTTGCAGGTTGGAAGAGGGACATGATACTTTATTTGTTTTATTAGTCGAAAGGAGAAGTTATGCTGTTTGACAAAGGTTATTATTTTTTGTATCTTATTTCTTACATACTCAAATCATTCATATTGATTAAGGCAAGTTTAAACTTTATAGAATGCAACTATTATTCAATATTCAAATTGCAAAGTGGATATAGACGGTAACAAGGTTGTCAAACCAAGAACTGAAGCAATAAAAGATTTTGGCCCGTCATCCCAAGGTAAGATTTAAATTCTTTTATTCCGAGGAAGGAATAGGGGCTGATTAATCATAATATCATAATTGGACTAAATCATATGTATAAAATGTATGGAAAACAATAACTATTTCAAATGCTTTGTTCAAACAAAGTTAATGCTGATTACTTTTTCTGTTAGCAGTTCTGCTAGATTTTAACTACATATTAAGTTTTTGTTATTGTTCTTTCTAATTGATACATATTGACTCATTTCCTTGATTTTGTTGAGCTCGCTTTGGTTATGCGTCGATTTCAACAATCTTGCATACCGGCTTCTATACGGTTGCATGTTCTACTGAGGTTCCAAACCTAATCCAAGAATAAGAAGGGGATTTGGTTCATTCATTTACTTGTTGAATGAAGTATATATTATTTATTTTCATTTTTGACTTGTTTTATGCTTCGACAACTTTAAACTGGGTGGTAGTTATTATGTCTTGTATAATTATACAAATTCAAATTCTATTGTTCTTACATTAATGAATATATTTGTGTTGATATGGTACATGATTGTTTGCAACTAACTTTAACACACCGTTGTGAAAATTTTTAAACAATTCAAGTTCCCTTTAGTTCTGAAAGTTGTCTCGACTCTAGAAAGTTTAAGATTTGATCCAAATTTAATATAAACTTTATTTACTTCAAATTCGATTTGTTTCAAGTTCACCTACAATGTAGTCCACTTCTTTAAGCTCAACTCTTTGTTTGAAATTTGTAAATGAAAAGTTATCTTTTTTGTATAAAAATCAAAAGGATTTGTAGATTTCTCAACTTTTAATATTTTTGATAAGTAAAAATATTGAACTTTTAGGATTATATTTCACTTTAGTTTAATATTTTTACTTATTTTTAATTCAACAGTGAGTTTTAAAATTAATTGAAAAGTATGTATGTTATGTTTGAGTAACATTCTAAAATGATGGTTTTATTTTTTAATTAAATTTAAGGGTTTTAGGGTGTTATAGAGAATACTAAACCCTTTTGTTCTTTGTAGATACCTCAAAATTCTTTTGTTTTTTTTGTAGATATCTCAAAATTCTTTTTCCAGCAACGTGTTCCACGCTTTGGCAGTCTTAGATTCCATAATTTTTGAAAAAAATGCATTAGTCACGGCACACGCTTTGGCAGTCTTAGATTCCATAATTTTTGAAAAAAATGCATTAGTCACGACTTATTGCAAAGTGAACGTCTTTATGTTTTTCTATATATTTTTCTTCAACCCTTTTTCTTGAACTACATTAAGAGTTGAAGTACGTGCAGAAGTGATGAAGTCTTCTTCTACTATGTCTCATAAATTTTGAGATGAAAAAAATGTCTTCATTTAAACAGGTCAAAAATCATAATTTTCACCGTTGAAAATAGAAACAGAAATAGATGAGAATTGAGTGGTGTTATTCATAGCTTAGAAAATTTATTAGAGTGGGGGATTTTGGAATAGTAGGTAGGTAATATAACTATGTCCAATGTATGACCGAACGTAGTTCTGATGTCACTGTTGGTAGTTGAATAGTTGATTATTGATAAGAGATAGTTTTAGAAAATTGTTTAGAAAGAAAAGAAGACTATGACATTGATTTCTTGATTATCAATTACAAAGTACGAATTGTCTGTATATAGATTCAAGTCACCAACCTCTCAATGGTGATGAATGTTTCTACATTATTTTTGTTCTTCTGACATTTTTATACACATTATATTTATAGATTCTTCTACCATTTTCATACACAGTATACACATTTTTCTACTATAATAGTGAGTAACTTCGCTCTTGTTTTCTGAAAAAATTTGATAAAATCAATATCAACTAAAAGTATGAACATGTTGTAGTTTTGATATATAATTTGGAGAGTCAGAACCTTGATTGCATTTGTTATGTTAAGGTGCATGATCTTGTAAGTAGGAAAAAATGGTGAAAATCTTCATGTATGCTAATTTATAGATGGTGTTGGGTGTATTTTCTATTATAATAATGAGAAAAGATATTTTGACACTTATGTTAGGGGTAAACATCGGTCGGATATAGATGAATTCAGATGAAAAATCTTTAATCCAAAAATGAAAAATCTTCAATCCAAAAAAACCCACAGATGCTAATATCTCATCCACTATCGTCTGTTTGCTGCTATCGGTTTTGGTTTTGACGGTTTGTCGAATGGGTAGGATGAGTTGAATCTATTGAATATTTAAATAAAATAATAAATAAGTTTATCTTTTTAATTACAGCAAATGAATAAATAGCTTTGTTTGAGATATGAAGAGACAACCATACAAATTCAAACACAGTTGAAGAGTAAAAAACAACAATATTTATGAAAGAATAAAATAGATGACGAATGATTGATGAGTAGATCTAATTAGATATGAAAACAACAAAAATATTATGTATTGAAGCACAAATAGAAAATATCATGACTTGAAATAAGATGTCTAAGATAGAGAGTTGAGAAAAAAATAAAAGAGGGAAAAGAATGAGAGAAACATGGTGGTTAAAAGTTGAGAGAGGTGGGAGGCTAAGAACGGTTATGTTTTAGAGTGAGAGATGTGAGTGAGATATGAGAAGAAATCATTTATTTAGGTTAACATTAGGCTAAAAACGGTTATGTTTTAGAGTGAGAGATGTGAGTGAGATATGAGAAGAAAATATTTATTTAGGTTAACATTAGGCTAAGAGCGGTTATGTTTTAGAGTGAGATACGAGAAGAAATCATTTATTTAGGTTAACATTACCCCTTTCTCTTAAGCTATGTTGTTTAGATGAAAGAATATCTACTTTATGATTATAGAAATTAAAAAATAATGTGACTAATTTAATGATCTGTCATTATTGGATGCTCACGGATCAAATTATTACACCCAAGTGTGTCCGCTTAGATATATAAGAAACCGTAAATGTTCACCCGAGTAACCGACAATTCAAAAAGAACCGACCATATTGCTTGGTAAGCGGTTAAACTGATTTTTGGACGGATCGAAGTTTCTTGTCCATCCCTAATACATACTGACATACTAATTTACTTTTTAATAATTTATTTTATATTGATTTTTGTGTAAGGCTATTGTTTGTTGTTGGAATATACGGTGGACATTACTATGTACAAAAATATGGTGTAAAAATAGCACACCTCTATAATATTTTATATTAATGAGAAACTTAAATAGTGAGTAAGATCGTTTTTTTTACTCATTCTTTTGAAAACTCCCACATTTTAGCTAGCATGATTGTGACCCTTATTTATTGCTTTATTTTAAAATTGTAAAGACTATTTAATGGTCTCAAGTATTTCATTCAATAATAAATTTCATGCCAAGATTATTTCATTTTTCATATAGGAGTTCTCATTCAACATTATGGTATTAGAGCAACCGATGGGCCTTATAAAATTAAAAAAAGTTGCAGACTTTAAGTGATTTACAAACACACATAAAAATGATCAGTGAAGGAAGTTTTGTGCAGCCTACAATTTTTCACGTCGATGGTCATTATGATCATTGGAGTGTGTTCATGGAGAACTTTATCCGCTCCAAAAAGTATTGAAGCTTATAATTAGCGATTAGTTATGCAGAACCATTAGAGATTGTGACAGTTGCAAAAAGAAGGAGGCTAGATGAATTGAAGTTGAAGCACTTAAAAGCCAGTAACTATTTCTTAAAACTATTGATTGTACCATCTTGAAAACTATTCTTCAAAAGGAAACCTCAAAGCATATTTGGGACTCTATGAAGAAAAAGTATGAAGTAAATGCAAGAGTGAAGTGGTTAAATCTTCAAGTTCTTTGCAAAGAGTTTAAAACCTTGGAGATGAAATATGGTGACAATGTTTTAGGTTGTTTTTTAAGAGTAATGTAAGTGATTAATAAAATGAGTGAATTTACTGAATGAATGGTAGATACTACAGTTGTGGACAAAATACTTGGATTCTTATTAGAAAAATTTAATTAAATTGTTTGCTATAATGAGGATTTGAAGATACTTATACTTTATCCATCGATTAATTGTAAAGTTCATTAATGGTTCACAGAAAAATGTTTTGTAAGTGAGATGTGGAGGAGCAAGCCTTAAAAATAAATCGCTATATTGGATCAAGAGGAGGTCGCGATCAAGGATCATTGTAAGAGGGAAAGACATAAGATGTCAAGCTTTCGACAAATTTATTGTTGAGTATTATACATGTCAATATAAGTATCATAGTTTAGACCAAGAAGAAAACTATGTTGAGCTCTATGAGAATGAAGAGATGTTAATGTCATACGTCAAGCAAAATGAAGCAAGAAGCGAGGATGTGTGGTTTCTGGACTTAAGACACATCAATCATATGTACCGAGAAAAAACTTTGGTTAGTGGTCTAACCGAAAGGTTCGGGCAGATTGCAAAATTAGAAATAATTAAAATATCACTACTTCAAAAAAAAAAAAAAAACAGCTATCACAACAATTGGAAAAAGGATACGATCACGCTGGTCTAATC